TTCTCAGGGAGATTTAAACTAAGAACCACTAGCTAGTTTATTGCTTGCCTGTAAATAAAAGGTCCTTATCTCCCCCTGACAAAGACAGAGTAAATGATTAATGCAGAAAGGGAGGGGGAGAGGGGGAAAGATAAAAACAGAAAATGAAAGCAAAAGGTTTCTGTCTCTGAGCCTTGCAGGACGGGGTTACTGGGTGCTTCTTAGGCTGCATTGAAATATTTAGCAGAGAAACTTTAGAATATAGTATTTTATTGGCCAGATTAAAAAGGTTTAATTCTGTAGTCAGGAAAGAAAAGGCCAATACAAGCTGCTGAAAGTATAGCAGAAAGAAAGAATGTTAAAATAGAAATACTTAATAGAAGGTCTAAGGCATGGTTATGCATTTTTGAAGGATATAGAAAGGTTTAAAGGCTAATTTAGAAGTATGAAATTTATAAAGGTTGTGTATGTGATAAGAAGAAGAAGAGAATTATTACAAGGAAATTGATTAGATAATACAGGCCAGTGGGCCAGGACAGGCAGAGCAGGGAAACTGAGATATTTGGACAGCAGTTTGCAACCATATAGAGCAGCGGTTCTCAACCTGTGGGTCGCAACCCAGTTTAGCGGTTGAACGATCCTTTCACAGGGGTCGCCTAAGACCATCCTGTATATCAGACATTTACATTACTATTCATAACAATAGCAACATTACAGTTATGAAGTAGCAACGAAAATAATTTTATGGTTGGGTCACAACATGAGGAACTGTATTTAAAGAGCCAGAAGGTTGAGAACCACTGATAGAGGACTCTGCCTCCCTAAACAAAGGGTAAATAGCTTATGGCCCAGTGATGGCGAACCTATGACACGCGTATCAGAGGTGACACGCGAACTCATTTTTTTTGGTTGATTTTTCTTTGTTAAATGGCATTTAAATATATAAAATAAATATCAAAAATATAAATCTTTGTTTTACTATGGTTGCAAATATCAAAAAATTTCTATATGTGACATGGCACCAGAGTTAAGTTAGGGTTTTTCAAAATGCTGACACGCCGAGCTCAAAAGGTTCGCCATCACTGGCTTATGCCAAAGTACTTAGGGAGACGTATAGAAGGAATCCAGTTAGTATCATTTACTGTCCACACCCAGACCAATTTCCCTACATAGATCAATGGTTGGACTTAGTTCAAAATCCCCCACCGTAGTTAAAGAATTATACTCTACAGATTGGGGTTCAAGTATTAGTAGCCAGCAAGGGGAGCTCGGCAAGAAGAGCCAGCCCCCAGGGAAATCCCAAAAAGGGAGGCACTGGCCCCAAGGGAAGTGCCGAAGGGGAGACGCTGTCCAAGCCCCCGGTTCTCCCTCCCTCCCCCTTCCCCCTCCCCCTCCTCCAGTAGGAGGGAAATCCCCAGGCTCCAGCACAGGGAGAGCGGTCTCTTTCATTCTCACCTCCCACTACTTGGAGCCCCACGCAGGCAAGGGAGGGCAGTTCCAGAGACCCTCCACCTAAGGGATCTCTCCTACCCTTAAGGGAGATTCCCTACAGAGGGGAATTTAGGAGAGCAACCCTTCTTAGTTTATGCCCCCTTCTCCACAAGCGACCTTTATAATTGGAAGATTCAAAACCCCCCATTTTCTGAGAAGCCTCAAGCCCTAATTGGCCCCCTAGAATCTGTCTTCCTACCCACCAGCCAACCTGGGATGACTGCCAGCAGCTCCTAGTCACTGTCTCTTCAAGACAGAATTCGGCTTGAGGCTAAGAAAGCCACCCTAGGGCCAGGGGGTAGGTTTGCTAGAGGAGAATCGGGATCAGGTAGAGGAAATTTTCCCATTCCTCCGGCCCCAATGGGACCCCAACTCGGCGGGAGGGAGGGTTTCCTTGGACAATTTTCACCTGGATCCCCTGCAAACTCCTCTGAAGCCTGCAGGCCCATCTCTCTTGCAACAAGTTCAGAAATGCAGAATGCCTGGGTGCTGGTGACAAACGGGACCAAGAGTCTGCACATAAGGGGGCCCCGCTGGGCCTGGGCCTCCCTGGTGGCTGCTGAGAGCCGCATCAGTTAGGAGGTACTGCTCCTCCTCCGGGGGTGGAGGGCTTTCCTCTTGGCGATGTCCTCCTCTGTGTCACTCTCACAATTCCTCAGGCTCTCATCTGGCCTCAGGTGCACCTTCTTCATCAGGGAGCGGGTGAGGTGGTTACACAAGGAGACAATGCTGAAAGAGAGCTTCCACCTTCTGCGGACATACTGCTTCTTGAAGTTCTCCAGGTTGACCACGGACTCCCTGCGCTCCAGGGCTTGCTGGTTGTCCACCGGCATGATCCAGGGGTGTCCGAGAGCCTCTTGGATTGTAAGCCGTTTCCGGGTCTCTTTAACCAGAAGCTTCCGAATGAAGTCCTTGGCCAGCTCACTGGTCTGACTGAAGAATTCCTCATCAAAGTCGTAACTCACCGCTGTGATATTTGCCAGTGTCTCCTGCTTCGTGTCTCCCAGGAAAGGGGATGCTCCACTTAGGAGGATGTAGGTGATGACGCCTATGCTCCACATGTCAGCCTCCAGGCCCAGGGGCTCATAGTTCACATTCTCTGGAGCAACAAATTCTGGTGTGCCAAAAATGTTCTTAAATTCAACTCCATCTTCTATTTCGTGAGCAAGGCCAAAGTCAATTAGCTTGATGTGTGGAATGGGAATATTCTTGTCTAACAACATAATGTTTTCTGGCTTGAGATCAAAGTGAGCAATTTTCTTGGCATGAAGGTAGTTCACTCCGTCCAGGATCTGCTTAATGAAGCTGGTGGCCTCCTCCTCACTCAGTGACTCCTTCTGGGCCAGAAGGTCAAAGAGCTCTCCTCCGGACACTAGCTCCAGCATGAGCACCACGTCGTGCAGCGTGATGATGTTGGGATGCAGCACCTGCCGCAGGATGCTCACCTCCCGCTCGATGTCCTCCCGGCACACGTGCAGCTTCTTGGTGAACTTGGCTGCGTACTCCAGCCCGGTGCTCTTCTCCCGGCACTTCTTCACAATGGCAAACTGGCCGCTCCCCCAGCTCCTCTCCGATGTCGTACAGTCCTCCACCTTCTGCTGCTGAAGGCCTCCATGTTTGGGCTCCTCCATGTTTGGGCTCCTCATTGAGGCCTGGAGCATACTGCTGGCGGAAGGCTGCGCGGCGGCGGGCGGGCGCGTCGGGCACGGGGGCGCGGCAGGGTGTGTGGCGCTCGGCTCCGCTCTGCTCCTCGCGCTCCTGGCGCCCTCGGGCCCCCCTCCCCGCCACGGAGGAGCCGAGGGGCGGAGCGGCCAGCCCCGTCCCAGGCGCTAACTGGAGGCGCGCCCGGTGACCCAGGACGGGGCTCGGGGCGCCCCCCAAAAGGTATTCAACAATAGAGACTCCTCAGGGGAGAACCAGGATAAGAGACTAGCAAGGGCAGTTGTAGCAGCTCTAGAAGAAACAAACCCCCAAAGGAAAAAGGGTTCACAAAAAGACCAACAGCAGGGAAGTAGACCCCAGTTTGGGAAAAACCAGTGTGCCTATTGTAAAAAAGGACACTGGAAGAAAGGCTGCCCGACCAACCCGACCGGGACAGGAAGAGGCAGTCTCAGGCCCTGAAGGTCCTGAATCTAGAGGAGGATTGACGGGGCCGGGACTCCATCCCGCTCAGCCCCCAGGAACCCAGGATAACATTATAGATAGGGGGCAAGCCTGTTAGCTTCCTAATAGATACTGGTGCTACCTATTCCATCCTAACCGAGCCTATGGAACCAATAACCACCAAGAAAACTTCCATTCAGGGGTCCACAGGAAAGTCAACTCTCTGCCCATGGACTTCAAAAAGGACAGTAGATCTTAGGAAAAACACTGTAACCCATTCGTTCCTTGTCATCCTGGAGTGTCTCTACCCCCTATTAGGACGAGACCTTCTACAGAAGCTACAAGCCACCATCTCGTTTGAAGGGGACAAGGCCCACCTTACCGTGGACCCTCCAGACCAAGGTTCCTTTCCTACCAGAATCCTACTCACCTGCCCTCTGTCGGAGGGATATCTTTTACAGGAAGAACCGCTTCTGGAAGTGTCACCCGCCAGTGAGCCCTCTGCATACCTGAAAAGACTTCAGCAGCTCTTCCCCACTGTATGGGTGGAGGGCAACCCTCCAGGACTGGCAAGTCACCAAACCCTGGTCATAGTCCAATTAATGGCCACTGCAACACCAGCTCAGTTTTAGGCTCTTCTACTTGACCAGTCCCACATCAGGTTTCACAAGTCTCTCGCCATGAACCCTGCCAGCCTCCTCCCAGACGATGACCCTGAAGAACCTCTACCTGACTGTTTAAAGGTCATCAACTTAGTACAGACAGCTTGCCTGGACCTCACTGACACCCCACTGGCATCGTCGGATGAGGTAGTGTTCACAGACGGGAGTAGTTTTGTCCAGGAAGGAATCAGGTATGTGGGGATGGCAATGGTTACTTTAGACCGAACCATCTGGTCTCAGGCACTCATTCGCGGGACATCAGCCCAGAAGGCCAAGTTAATTGCCCTTATTCAGGCTCTCCGGTGGGCAAGAGTAAAATAAGTAACAATTTATACTGATAGCAAGTACGCATTTGCAATGGCTCACGTAGACAGTGTTATTTACAAGGAAAGGGGACTTTTAACTTCAATTGGGAAGGACATCAAAAATAAGGAAGAAATTCTGGCTCTACTAGAATCCATCTGGCTACCCAAGGTGGTGGCATTAGTCCACTGTAAGGGGCACCAGAAAGGGACTCTCTAGAAGCAAGAGGGAACCGGGCCACAGATGAAGCGGCCTGGGAGGCTGCCCTAAAACCAGTGGGGCCCCTACAGATTTTAGTGACTCTTCCAGACCCTGACCTACCCACCTCACCAGCCTACACAGAGGAGGAGGAGAAACTAGCCACACAGAGGCAGGCCTCCATGGAACAGGGGGTCCCTCAGGGGTGAGGACGACGGAGCCCAATGCGCTGGGGCATTTGCATGCATGACTCCGGAGACCAGGTTCAGAGACACAGATCTAAGTTTATTGGGGAAGTACAACCGTATAAAAAGGGGTAAGCTGCCAATAAAACAGGGACACACTTGCTATGTTATCCAATGGGTGTGAGGGTCGGGGCTAAGAGTAGGTGGCTCTTGGAGATTTGTCAGGCAGGCGTTGCCACTTTCTGGTGTGCCAAGGAAGCATGTTCACTGGAGTGTGCTCACAGAGTTGCATCAGCCGCAGCACTGAGATAAATCTCTTGAGCTCTACCCACATCTCCCCCTTCCTTTTTTATAAGTGCCTGCTGGATGTGGACAATCATAGCTTGCTGTGCATCTATTCTTTGGATCATGGAGTAAAAGCAACGAAACAAGCAGAATGCAAGGAGGCCTCCTGATGCTAGGACGGCCCATATGAATATATTAGCAGGATTTAACCAGGAGGTTAGACGGCTGAGGGCATCACTTAAGGAACTAAACTCAACAGATTCCAGCAATTAGATAGTACACAAGATTGCTGGGTACAAGTAAAAGCGCTATAATTGCTTTGTAAGAAGAAGGAGGCGGGTCTCACACAGGGCCAGTAACTAAAACTATGAGTGGCATTGGGGTTGATTGCGACATTGTTCTCCCATCTACTTGTCGGCTTTTTCCAGGTGCCGTTATACAGGCGGGCCCCTTTTAGGCCGGTGAAGGCTCTTTGATTAATACATGTATTGGGCCTGCATAAATCCCACCCCAGGTAATGTTGTGTGCCCGTCGGTGTCTTGGTTGTCTCCGCCGCTGGGGCTGGTTGTCCTCTATGGTCAGGTCCTCCATTTCCTCTACCGGGGGTGATGGTGATGGTGGTCTACAGCTCATCGCTGGTGGTGCAGGGTTTGATGTTATGGGCAGGAATCCATGCGGGATTTTTCTCACCTTCTGGAAAAATACAAGCAAACCCTCTCCCTTGGGTTAAGAGTATGTCAGGGCCCTTCCAAGCCCTGGTTTGTGGATCTCTCCACTGGATCAAAGGGAGAGGCGTTGGTATATCTCTGAGACCTCCCCAATGTTTGAAAATGGGAGGAAGACCGTCGGGGGTAAAATGAAAATAATTGAGGGTTATGAGAGCCTGTAATAGTTGCTGTTGAGGTGTTAATCTTTGGTCTATCCTTCCCCCACTTTTTCTTTAGTAAGCTGGATTTTTAACTCTTTATTTTGTCTTTCTATTATGGCTTGCCCTTGTGGGTTGTATGGTATGCCAGTAACGTGCTTGATGTTATGTTTCGTGAGGAATTGCTGAAAAGCCTTGCTAGGGTAGCAGGGGCCGTTATCTGTTTTAATTTCCCAGGGGAAGCCTAATGTTAAAAATGCTCCCTTGAGGGTTGCTATTGCGTGGCGAGTCTTTTCACCTGTGTGAGCCTGAGCATACATGGCCCCAGAGCAAGTGTCAATGATTACATGTACATATTTGAGCCTACCAAAGCTGGGAATATGGGTCACATCTGCTTGCCATAAGGCATTGGGTTGGAGCCCCCGGGGGTTGACCCCTTGTCTTAAATGAATTTCCTTTGGCTTATTTTGACACCACGTATGTTTTTCATGGGTGTCTTGCTGTTAGCATTACAAATGAAAAAAATTTTTCTAGATGTAAATTAGTTACAGGATATTTTTCCTTACACGGTATTTTTCCACTATCCTCCCTTTTTGATTTAATTATTAGAAGGCTTTTTGGAAAATTTATAATGCAGTCTAGATAACTTTAAATTTTATTTTTTTGTATAAAAATATGACTGCTTTAGGTTCATTGCATGTTAAGTAATTTTTCTATGAAATGAAAACTTTGGTCAATACTTCTTGAGCCAATTTTAATTAATCTGAAAACTTGACTACTATTTTACTGTCAAATTTAATACTCTAATAACAATCTTAGTTTACACTGTAAATATTAATGGAAAGGATTATTTTGCATCCTTGAGAAGGCCATGAGTATTCCTGGTGTTAGGCTGGATTTAGATATAGGGTAGCTGCTGTCAGCCAACTCTCTTATCTGGGTACCAATCTGGGCTGGGATGGGAATAGAGAAGCAGCCATGGGGGCAGACTTCCCTCAGAAGGGGTGAGTGTTCAAGCCCCTGCATAATTGGGGGGTGAGGATCTGTGCCCCACCTCTGTTGGCCCCCAAGTTCTCTTCTGCTGGCCCCTCTGTGACTGTGCCTGTCTTTGACTAACCAGCCATCTTCCGGGGCCAAGCAGGGTGATGTGAGGTTTAGTTTTGTCTCCTTGGTAGCCTATGTCCCTATGGCCTCCATGCCTAGTAACTGCCTTGGGATCCCCTCGCCTGCTGGCGGGGCCCCGGCATTGATCATGGGGAACCCAGGTTTCTTCTCCAGAGAGGGCCTAGCTCATGCCATTGGATAAGAGACAGATCCATGGTACCAGCCACTATGAGGCTTCAACCTTAGCATGAACAGAGAGCTCAGGCAACAGCTGTGGGCAATTGGATTATAAGAAGAGGGACCCTCTTGGCAAAAAGGGCAAGAGAGGTCAATATAGAATGCTCAAGTGCCTTCCCAGGGGGCCTTCCACACAGTAGAAGGGATTAAATCCTTTCATGTCCTTATTAAATTGCTGTTTGCCCTTTCTTAGAGGCAAAAACCTAAAATATACATTTACTAACTTTCATTTAATAAAGCTTTCCATGTGATTTCAAGTATATTAAATTGGCTTTATTAAAAGATCCTTTAAGAAGAGAGAATAAACTTTTGAAAACATTTCAGGGCCCATGAAATGTCTTAAAGTTATTCCTTGGTTATAGTTTTAAAATCTAACTTGAAAGACCATCAAATATATATGTGTATACATGATTTAAAGACTATATACTTTTTATAATTATTAAGAGATATCAATTAAATTAAAACTGATCTTTGTATATAAAAATTTCGGTTGTGATTATAGAATTTATTCTTTTTTTTAATCAGACCAATGAGTAACATATTTTGAATTCCGAATTTTTCAGAGAAAGCACAAGATTTTCTTAAAAATAAATTTCTATACTTTAGGCATTTAGTTACCACAATTATAATTTTTCCCAATTTAATTTAACTAGAACTTTAAACTCTTAGCTGGCAAGTTAAACATTCAGCCTTTCTTTAGATTAATAAGAGCAGGTGCTTCCTTCCTTATGTAATTTTAAGTATATTGTATTAGTCTAATTTAGTATTGGAAGGGTTAAAGAGAAGAAAATAGGACAGAGGAAAATTGTTGTGCTTACTAGCAGCTTGTGGCCTTGAGTCCAACATAGTTCAGATAAGTAAAAATTAACAAAGAACTCTCTCTCCTTGCTCTCCCTGCCAACGGCCTCTTTTTTTTCTTTTCTTCATTAACCATTTGGATATTGGGGATATTGTTGCAGATCTGGTAGCATTTGCTGCAGCTGTGGGGTTAACATTCACAGGAAAGAGTCCAGGGGTCTCCAGCCCTAAGGACATCTTTGCTCTATCTCTGGCTACACATGGATTGATATATCCCCGTCCATGGATTATCATCCGTGTCCCCCACGAAAGGATTACTTGGGGGCCGGTGGGCAGTTAAACTTTTTGTTTGCTCTGCGAGGGGAGCGGGGGAGTGACTCTGGCAGGAAGCCTCCTGGTGAGACTCCCCTGCTTTCGCCTCGCTCTTTTCTGTCCCAGTTTCAGTTTTTCTTGAGCTTTGAGAAACTACTTTTGGCTTGTCAAAAACAGCCCAGGGATCTGCGGGGGCAGAGGGCTCTGGAGGGGAATAGGGAGGCAGAGAGTCTTCTGTTCCCCCACCCGCACCAACGGTGGCCGGTGGCGGAGAGAGCCTCCGGTATGGGAAGTGCAGGCTCGGACGGGGCCCCCGCTTAGGCAGGCTAAGATTGCTAAGATAGCAGGTGGGAGAGAAAGCGGAAAAGTCTTTCCCTCATGGACCTCTGCTGATCTTATCCTCTGTAATGCTTTCTCCCATGTACTGGGATCCCAAATGGGGGCTTCTAGCAGCCACGTGTTAAATGCTATTAGAACATCCCAGAGCTTTTGTAGCTCCTTTTCTGTTACTTTTACTCGGCTACTCTGTAACAGCGCATGAAGCACACGAGCCTGAGGGGCTCGGGCTGAAGGGGGAAGGTTTCCCATCGTTACAGAGAGTCACTCACCCATCCAGGAGCATGCCGGGGTCCCTGTTCGAGGTGCCAGATGGAACAGGGGGTCCCTTGGGGGTGAGGACGACGGAGGCCAACGTGCTGGGGCATTTGCATGCATGACTCCGGAGACCAGGTTCAGAGACACAGATCTAAGTTTATTGGGGAAGTACAACCATATAAAAAGGGGTGAGCTGCCAATAAAATAGGGACATGCTTGCTATGTTATCCAATGGGCGTGAGGGTTGGGGCTAAGAGTAGGTGGCTCTTGGAGATTTGTCAGGCAGGCGTTGCCACTTTCCTGGTGTGCCAAGGAAGCATGTTCACTGGGAGTGTGCTCATAGCGTTGCATCAGCCGCAGCACTGAGATAAATCTTCTTGAAGCTTCTGCCCACACCTCCAGAAACCCGAAAAGATAGTGGACTTTTACCAGATGGCCCGACTTTTTGGGTTCCAAGGCTCTCTAGGTAGGGACAAATTAGTTAACCCAGGTTAACACCAGGTTCCATCCACCTTAGGTCCATTACCAAGGCTTA